ACACACACACACACACACACACACACACACTTACACACACTAACACTAACACACACACCAACGTCTACGTTTGCTGGCACAGAGACCCACACGTGAAAATGTGTGCATAACATTATACATGTACATACCTAGACTAGTGGATGGATAATGTTTTTCGTCAAACAATCAGGCTCCCCCTCAAACTTGAGTCAAAGTGCTATGTATTTATACAGCAAGAGTATTTCTTTGGTCTTTCGGCTGCGCACTGGTCTTTTTTCTTTCTATACCCTCAATAAATAGACACGGGCTTCCTTGTTACTGTTAGCTGCTTGGCACACGCGATACGGCGGGTTCTTTCACTGTGTATTGCCTTGTAGGACGAATGGCTCTGTGATGATGTAATCAATGTATTGCCAGTACAAAAACGACATGTGTATGTACTACTACCTTTGTCCAGTGACGTACTCTGCCTCAACTAACCCCTCCACTATCCACCCCCCTCTCTCCGGGAGCGACGTGCAATATAAAACTCATGCCCTCAGCTCTTTATGAATGAGACCGTTATGCCCCCCATTCTACAGGAGAGCCCGGCGTAAGAGGCTCGAACCGCCACTCTCTGGCTTTCGCCCCTATGTCGCCCGCCTCTGCAGCAGGCGACCAGGGCGGGTTCCAGCGGACCCAGAGCTACCGCCAGCCGCCCACAGAGAGAGACGGAGTTGAGTTGGCCAGGTCGCACTCAGTGACCCCGGCTGATGACATGACCAGGTATGCACCTTTTTTGTTGTTGTTGTTGTAATTGTGTTATCTCTTTAAACAGCAGGTGGTTGGAGGGTGGTCTGGCGTGGCGTGGCGTGCTCCTTCCTTATCAAACATCAGCTGTCGTCCTGATATCTCTTCCTCATTTGTGAGTTTGTTACTCTCTTGTAACACCTCTAAACTTCTGCAACTATATCACCTTATTGTCTTACAAGTGCTGTAAAATTCTTTCAAAAACTGAGATCTTTTAACGCTTTTCTAGGGTTAGCTGCACCCATGGCCACGCCGTTTGTTCATCTCTGTACTATATAGATGGCCCTGGTTCGATTCCCTAACGGGACAAAGCATTTTTATTACTTTGAATTGGTTGGGAAATTTTCAAGGCTTTCCTCGGATTTGTTTGTTTATTTGTTTGTTTGTTTGTTTGTTGTTTGTTTGTTTGAGTAAAGCAAAGCACGTTGACACGATATTTAGTGCAGGAAAAATGCAGAACCGACAGACGGAAACAACGGAGGGATAGACGAGCAGTAACTGCAAGTGGCGCCTTCCAACGTCATGTTTGGGGTTGGTTAGGGTTCTGTCTTTTCTATTGGAGATGTCTAGTGATCTATTAGATGACCTCAACTTTTTGAAAAGGGTGGTACAAATCATAACCATATTATATAACCTTGTACTGGAATTGGTCCTTCTCAGGCCCAGCGAACCTTAACTGTGGGTGGTTGGCGAGTGCTCTGGTGTAGTTTACTTCTTTTTTTCTATGAAACATATATCGTCCTAATCTCCCCTTCTTCCTTTTTTAATGTTTGTTACTCTCTTGTAACACCTCTAATCTTCTGGCGCTAATATGACCTTATGCAGTTGCGAGCGCCGTAAAACCTCTTCTAAAACTTTTTTAAAGGAGGAAAGAAAAGAAGATGAAGAAACGAACCTTAACTGTGGAATCAGTGACAGAGGAATAGAGAGAACGGGGAGTTTATTGAATAACTCTCTACAGAACATTGTGTAACGAAGGAGGAATTGGGGAAAATATCGACAGCTGTAAACAAGTCAAACATTATATGGCTTTCGGCTGAGATTTGTAGACATCTATCCTGTGTTCTTGTTTGTTTGAGTAAAGAGAAACACACTGACACCATAATGACCATTTCGTGCTGGAAAAAAGGTGAAACAGACAAACAGACACTTCAGAGGGATAGTGGCATCCTCCAAATATCTGTTTATTTTGTATGCCAATTTCTTCCAAAAGACAACACTAGTGTCGGTATCAAAGGTGTCCAACAATTGGGGAAAACGTATTTTGTAGGAGCGGAAAGGGAAAAAAGAAACCCAACGAAAACTAAACAAACATCTGCCTTTTCGTGTTTCTTCACTTTTGTTATCCATTGGAATTGGGAACTTCTTTTGACGAGTGGCTGGAGGGTGCCACTAGAAAGTTCTACTTCTGTTCTTTCCCTCTTACTTTTTCTTTCCCTGCGCCAGATGAGCGTTATCGGGCGGATGTGCTTCTTTTTTACTCAAACAAGCAAACATTTTTTTCTTATGCTTTTAGAGCGAACTACACTCACATGATGTGTACAGCTTTGTGCGCTATGCTTAGAAATTGGAAATGGCTTTGGGGGAATCTCGAAACTTGTTTGTCCAGTTTCCTCCTGTCACCATCCACGAGGAGAGTCAGACAAAGACACATGATAAACGGCATTTTGTCCCCGCGCTTCACTTGTGTCTCTAACGTGATAAGTAAATGATCCGTTGCAAGTGACAATAGAAAGATTAGCCCGGAGCGAGAGATCAAATCGATTGACAAAAGCCATCTTAACGTACATATTATTATTGTTGTTATTGTTGCTGTTGTTTTTGTTGATGTTGTTGTTGTTATTATTATAACAATTCAGTTCATATTCGTGTATATTGTAATACAGTCAAGCCTGCTCTATCGGCCTCCTGTCCAAGACAATCACCTGTACAATCGACCTTTTACTGCTTCTCCCCACAATTAGTTTTTTTTTTTTAAAACTATAGTATAATGCCACTGTCCAAGACGTCCACCTGTTTAAGACAAGCACACTTTTCTCCTCCACAACGAGTGGCTGTCTTGGACATTTTCATTTGTGGCAGCTCTTGAAAAGAACCACACATGAAGTTTGGTTGAGTTACCTCCGACTTGGCTTCCATTTTCCTTACTTTGAACGCTTCGGTGAACTCTTCATACCTTGTAGAACCTTGAGATCGCCCCC